AAATGATTGCATTGCTTTAAAGCCTTTAATAATGTGCGGATGCACCCTAATGTGCTACGCATTCTCCAACGCGCCTAGGCATGCTTCTGATCAGGTGGTCAATGTCCTCCTGTGGTATCCCATTCCAGGCAACCACCAACTCCTCTCGAGGTGCTTCTAGAGTCTGAGGAGGACGTTGCAAATTGAGCAATCTCCTACCCATCATATCCCACACGTGCTCAATTGGGGATAAGTCGGGAGATCTTGGTGGCCATGGTAACAATGTGATATCATTATGTTGAAAGAAGTCTATTGTGACTCTTGCAACATGTGGTCGGGCATTATCTTGTTGGAAAGTTGGATCTGCCAGGGTGTCAAGATAGGGTAAAAGATGGGGTTCTAGAACTTCGTGGATATAACGCTGCGTGTTCATGTTACCTCTGATGAAGATTAAAGGTGACCTGGAACCATAAGCTATAGCACCCCAAACCATAACTCCAACAGTGTGATGAACATGTCTTTCAACAAAAAACTGTGGATTCCTCCTTTCACCACGTCGCCTTCTAACCCTGGCACGACCATCGTGCATGCCTAAACAAAATCGAGACTCGTCACTAAAGACAATACTGTTCCATTCCTGATCCCAGAGTGACCGTTGTCTGCACCACTCAAGGCGATTACGTCGGTGTTCTCGAGTTAAAGGGAGGACCCAGTGTGGCCGGTATGAAAACAAGCCAAAACTTCTCATTCGTCGGTAAACACTTCGCATGCCAATAGGTCTTCCGTGTTCTGCAAGCCATTCATTTGGAGTGGAGAAACGGTCCCTAAAGGCCAATAATCTTAGGCGGCGATCTTGACGGTCTGTTGTTCTACGGCAGCGTCCAGTGCCCCTTGCTCTTTGCGTACGGCCTTCTCGAAGCCATGCCTAACAACACCTAACCACAGTGTCTACACTTCTTTGCACTCTAACTTAAATTGCCCGAAAAGAAAGTCCAGCTTCCCGAATTCCCACTATACGGCCCCCATCAAACTCACTAAGTTGACGAAATCGTACAGGTCTCCGTACTCTAGGCATCGTAACCGATCGTAAAGGATGTCAAGAACCAAAATCCGCCAACGTTGATTCTTTACTGCGGCTGAAATATTCATTTTTAGAGCATTAGTGAATTAAAAGAAAGCAGTATAAAAACCGGAATGTCCAACTGATAAGGCTGAAAATTTTTTCACTTGTTATTTACAGTAAGGTAAATACATTCACAAACTTTTATTAAAATAAAACCATTTAAACTGGGTGTTCCTATTTATATGTCACTTAGTATATTTCAGTAACCTGGTTCTAGATTTTTATCCAAAATAAAAGTTTTCTTGGGCCAAAAGTGTCCATTTACCTGGCTACGTGGCTTACGAAAACTTCTGAATTGTTCTACTTATCAAGGTTATCAAACAAACTCACAACTTTGAGCAATGATCCGAAAAGTGTTAAGATGAACTTTATAATGAAATATACGCGACTGTTACTCGGCAACTCAACACTTCTAAGTCGGCAAGTTTCATTGAAACCTTTTACGAATTATATTTTAAAAGTTCGCGATCGCGGAACGATCCTTATGCAGATATATTGGAACGACTTCGTATAGTTTAAGTGGGGTGCGATTCCGCGAGATAAAATTCCAAATTATATTTGAATCGAATTCAGATTGTACGATAGAATCATCCCATTTCCTTATTTCAATAGCAGACTGGTCTCTATTCGGATGATAACGGTGCCCGAAAATCAGATTATATCACTGCCTTTCAGTTATTATTGTTTTGTGATAAAATAAATTACAGTACTCTGAGCAGGGGCAGCCATTAAGTTCTGCAGAACTGCCAAAACTATTGTCTTAATAGAAAAAAAGCAGTAGTAATTTGATCATGATTTATTTTCCATGTTATCTCACAAATAGAAACAATACCGGCCTGCCCCCGCAAGACACGGCGTCGAGTCTGGTTTGTACTGAGAAAGCATTATAATCGACCAATTGTGTACTTGTCATTTACGTCGCGACCGCAGCGTATCATTATTCATGGGCCACTTGAATAGGGTCTGTGCACTACTTCGACACGAGCCGCACGCGCTTGCTTTTGTCTCTCTCTACAAAATCAAACCCGCGAATTAAGCATAAGCATGTACTGCAATGTATACAGATCCGTACAGATCTAATGCGAAGTACGATATCTGATTGGTCGGTTATAGGACTCAGGATCGCCTTACAGCGTTGTCGATGCTGTCCATTGAAAAGGAATTTATTTCGACCATGGAGAATTTCAACGGCAAGGTGATCGACAAATTTGCTGCCAAGAAGAAGCGCAGGATCGAACTGACGTATAAAAAATAGGCAAGTTCGGATTTGCTGAACACCTGTTTCATTTTGCCACGAGCTACCACTGACTCTGAGTCTCATTAATCGTTTTTCACGATCAATTTACCTAGAATACCAAACTCGTCTTGCGATTATAAATACAGACTTTGCTGCTATACCTTTATACTTTGTCAACACCTATTATTATTCCCATTAATCTCGCAATGCCGTTCTTCCGCGGACTGCAATTAAGCCAGGTGCATTGCCTCAATTTGCGGCATAGCTCGTATTTTATAATTCTCGCCGATTAAGAAAAACTTCCCTTAATCTTTCCCGGTAGTGAAATTAATATTTCCCCCTTTCTCGTTGCGTAATATGCATACGTGGCTGGTGCAGGACTGGACTTTGGGGAACACGGGGAAGTTTCCTTCGATTTTGAAGACTGCACTAGCCGTACCAATATTCAAAAAGGACGATCCCGAGCTGGCTTACAGTTATCGCACGATTTCAGAATTAGCATATTTTTAAAAGTACTAAGGAAGATATTGTATACTAAGTGACATATAAATCCGAACACCCAGTTTAAATGGTTTTATTTTAATAAAAGTTGGTGAATGTATTTATCTTACTGTAAATAACAAGTGAAAAAATGTTCAGCCTTATCAGTTGGACATTCCGGTTTTTATACTGCTTTTTTTTAATTCACTAACGCTCTAAAAATGAATATTTCAGCCGCAGTAAAGGATCAACGTTGGCGGATTTTGGTTCTTGACATCCTTTACGATCGGTTACGATGCCTAGAGTACGGAGACCTGTACGATTTCGTCAACTTAGTGAGTTTGATAGGGGCCGTATAGTGGGACCTCGGGAAGCTGGACTTTCTTTTCGGGCAGTTGCAGTTAGAGTGCAAAGAAGTGTAGACACTGTGGTTAGGTGTTGTCAGGCATGGCTTCGAGAAGGCCGTACGCAAAGAGCAAGGGGCACTGGACGCCGCCGTTGAACAACAGACCGTGAAGATCGCCGCCTAAGATTATTGGCTTTAAGGGACCGTTTCTCCACTACCAGGTCCATTGCAAATGAATGGTTTGCAGAACACGGAAGACCCATTGGCATGCGAAGTGTTTACCGATGAATGAGAAGTTTTGGCTTGTTTTCATACCGGCCTCACTGGGTCCTCCCTTTAACTCGAGAACACCGACGTAATCGCCTTGAGTGGTGCAGACAACGGCCACTCTGGGATCAGGAATGGAACAGTATTGTCTTTAGTGACGAGTCTTGATTTTGTTTAGGCATGCACGATGGTCGTGCCAGGGTTAGAAGGCGACGTGGTGAAAGGAGGAATCCACAGTTTTTTGTTGAAAGACATGTTCATCACACTGTTGGAGTTATGGTTTGGGGTGCTATAGCTTATGGTTCCAGGTCACCTTTAACCTTCATCAGAGGTAACATGAACGCGCAGCGTTATATCCACGAAGTTCTAGAACCCCATCTTTTACCCTATCTTGACACCCTGGCAGATCCAACTTTCCAACAAGATAATGCCCGACCACATGTTGCAAGAGTCACAATAGACTTCTTTCAACATAATGATGTCACATTGTTACCATGGCCACCAAGATCTCCCGACTTATCCCCAATTGAGCACGTGTGGGATATGATGGGTAGGAGATTGCTCAATTTGCAACGTCATCCTCAGACTCTAGAAGCACTTCGAGAGGGGTTGGTGGTTGCCTTGAATGAGATACCACAGGAGGACATTGACCACCTCATCAGAAGCATGCCTAGGCGCGTTGGAGAATGCGTAGCACATCAGGGTGCATCCACACATTATTAAAGGTCAAAGGGCTTTAAAGCAGTGCAATCATTTTGAAATTTTTCATTTACTTATTATGCTTTATTAAGTACTTATACAACATTTTATTAAAATAAAACCATTTAAACTGGGTGTTCAGATTTATATGTCACTTAGTATATAATAAAGTATTCAAATAGTTAGATACTAAGGACATTTTAACGTGGATTTAGGCCGGGATTTTCAACCTAAACAAGTACAAGCGATTTTGTCCAAAGTGTACAGTTACCAAAATAAATATGTAACCGCAATTTGAAATGAAAGACAAAGTTTTCTATGACATACGATGACACTGAGTGATGCTAAATGCTCTTGCTGGTATCCATGACTATTAATTTTTGCGGTGCATTCCATTATTCCAGTACTAAGTTAAGCTAGTCGAATTATATTATAAACTCAAATAGCTTATGCTAAATATTCAGAAATCATACGTTATGCATTTCAACATGTACGAGCTAAATAACAGACGTGTAAACGAAACAATGTCTCCACAAAATAGATGATTTCGAGGCTTAATTCATAAATGGTGAAAGCGAAAAAATGTCCACAAAGAAGTCAATTTTAAGACTTAATTCAAAAATGGTGAAAGCTATATGTATATTTAAGTAAGCACATTCACCATAATTTAAAATAATCGATTCTATGAGCCCCTTCCCACTTCAGTTGGCCCACTTCAAGATTTGTACCAAAATATGCCTTCATAAACTAAACATGACGAAACTATTTACATCTAAAACAATTTATTTTCTCAAAAACATTTTATATACACTCTAGTCGTAAAAAATACATATTTGAAATCACTTAGACCTATAACTAATAAAACATCTGAACAAATAAACAATGTGCGAATAAAAGCGTGAAGTTAACAAAGCAACAGTTGAAAGATTACCATTGGGTAACATCACCTTTATTTTTTATTACGGCTGAAATTTTTTGGGGCATAGTGTTAACCAAGTTTTGGCATAAATTTGGTGTAAAACAATCCGATATTTCTTGAAGCTTTTGTCTGAGTTCGGTGATTGTACGAGCAGGATGTTGTCGTAGAACCTTTTTCATCTCTTGCCACAAAGTTTCAATAGGTGACAGATCTGGACTGCTAGACCGCTGTAATTGCAACATGTGTTATTTTTGTGCTGCAAATTTGATTAAGAGTGATAAAGTTGGTGTTTTCTACTATATATTATCAAAATATTTATTGTTAATATTTTAAACCTATAACACCCTGTTACATTTTTATTTTTTGTGTTTGATAAAAAAAAACTAAGATTTCAATAGTTGGGCCAACTGAAGTTTGAAGGGGCTCGTACACTAGAAAACGCTCTACTTCCAAGATTAATGTTAACAGCATAGAAATTCGGGAAGAACCAAGTGCAGTTATTCTAGGAACTGCCGGTGACCTTACATGGGATCGAGGAATCTCTGAAAAATTAAATAAAGCTTTTTTGTATCAAACATTGAAAAATCGATTGCAGGTCACTATTAACGACTATGCTTTTGTGTATTTTCTAGTGCATATAACATTGTGGTATGGAAGTAGTCAGCTGAGGCATCGAGAGTATTTATACATCAAAAAAGAATCTTGAGGCTCATATTCAATCTGAATTATAATGACTCCTGTCGAGATGTGTTTGAAAACAATAACATCACGGTAACAGCAACATATCTTCACACAACATTATCCCATATACAACCCAATAGAGAAAAGTATATCACCAATGGCTTTAACCATACTTATGGAAAGAGAAACAGAAATGAAGCTTCTTAGAAAAGTTCAATCACACCTACTTTATGAAGTCGTCTGATAATGCTGGATGATGAGGATGCCAAAACACCTCCTGGACTAACACCAAATAGTAAAAAGTGCATATACAGGGTGATTCACAAGTCCTGACCAAAGATAAAGCATCATACACACACAAAAAGATACGGTGTTGAAGTTTAAAAATAAAGAACATTTTTTTTTAATATCTTCAAAACCATCTAATGAAATGAAATAAAGTTTGGTATGTCGATTTACCTCAGACATTTAAAAGTCTTTACTTGAAGTTAACGTGTACCAGTGGTGGAGATACAGGCGATTAGTGGCGTTATTTTGTCTAATAAAAATAGTACACTCTAGGAAAAAACACAAGAGTAATTGTAGCAAATTATAGGTAAGTTTCGAAAAATTGCGCGAAAAAAAAAACAGTGGCGTACTATTTTGATTTGGAACATTAGCGCCATCAATTCCTTGTATCTCCGCTACTGGTGCACGTTGATTTTAAGTAAAACCTTTGGATGTGGACAATACCCAGGCAAGTCCACATACCAAATTGACGGTTGTGAAGATATTAAAAAAAATATTTTTAAACGATTACGACTTGCGAATCACCCTGTATACGCGGAATCATCGCAATATATAGAGCGTAACCGCATAAAGCTAATTTTTAATTCATTACATCATATTATTCCTTTATGCGTCCGCGCGCGTGAAATGTAATGAATTTCAGCATTACCTCAAAATGGATTATAAAAGTATGTAACTATAAATTAATTCCAATATGTTTAATAATCCTTAATTTATTTATTTTTCATAGAAATATAACCGAAGCGCAATAAAATATTCCCGTCGCTATGAAAACAATATGAAATTAATTTATGCGCGGATGTCAGGATGAATATATTTGAAATGTAGGAATAATTTGGAATAATGACAAAGTGTGGTGTGGAACGCGCAGATCCCGTAATAAACAAAAACAGCTGGATATTTGTTGCTAGCAAACTCTCAATGTCTCCGCTTGTCATTTTACACCATGAACTTTCAAGCAACATATAATATAGTTCCAGTTCCAACATAGGGGCTGCCATTCAAGATAACAATAATAGTAGACGATTTTTATTGCAGACGATGTTTAGATACAAGCCTTGAAAATAACTAGCACTACGCTATCGAAGATAATTTTAACAAAAATTACACATTGAATTGAAAAAAAAACTTTAAATGATTCAAAAATTGGCTAATCAAAGATAAAAAATTGAGCATGCCAGCGAAAAAGATATCATTTAAATCTGCAGTGAAAATTAAATACATCAATGGTCCCAGCATTGAGCCTTTTATTATACCTGTTACACATTGAACACTTTTTGATGTCGAAATTTGATTTCTGATGTTTATTTTATCACCAAAACTGCATATACTACTATTGCCTACAAAGTGACAATATCGTAACATCATAATAATGCTCATGTTACAAATTTATACCTGTATTGCATTTGATGTTTTCTTTTCGCTTTTTTTTGCTTTTATATTATGTTTATATACTAAGTGACATATAAATCCGAACACCCAGTTTAAATGGTTTTATTTTAATAAAAGTGGTGAATGTATTTATCTTACTGTAAATAACAAGTCAAAAAATTTTCAGCCTTATCAGTTGGACATTCCGGTTTTTATACTGCTTTTTTTTAATTCACTAACGCTCTAAAAATGAATATTTCAGCCGCAGCAAAGAATCAACGTTGGCGGATTTTGGTTCTTGACATCCTTTACGATCGGTTACGATGCCTAGAGTACGGAGACCTGTACGATTTCGTCAACTTAGTAAGTTTGATAGGGGCCGTATAGTGGGACTTCGGGAAGCTGGACTTTCTTTTCGGGCAATTGCAGTTAGAGTGCAAAGAAGTGTAGACACTGTGGTTAGGTGTTGTCAGGCATGGCTTCGAGAAGGCCGTACGCAAAGAGCAAGGGGCACTGGACGCCGCCGTAGGACAACAGACCGTGAAGATCGCCGCCTAAGATTTTTGGCCTTAAGGGACCGTTTCTCCACTACCAGGTCCATTGCAAATGAATGGTTTGCAGAACACGGAAGACCTATTGGCATGCGAAGTGTTTACCGACGAATGAGAAGTTTTGGCTTGTTCCTTTAACTCGAGAACACCGACGTAATCGTCTTGAGTGGTACAGACAACGGTCACTCTGGGATCAGGAATGGAACAGTATTGTCTTTAGTGACGAGTCTCGATTTTGTTTAGGCATGCACGATGGTCGTGCCAGGGTTAGAAGGCGACGTGGTGAAAGGAGGAATCCACAGTTTTTTGTTGAAAGACATGTTCATCACACTGTTGGAGTTATGGTTTGGGGTGCTATAGCTTATGGTTCCAGGTCACCTTTAATCTTCATCAGAGGTAACATGCACGCGCAGCGTTATATCCACGAAGTTCTAGAACCCCATCTTTTACCCTATCTTGACACCCTGGCAGATCCAACTTTCCAACAAGATAATGCCCGACCACATGTTGCAAGAGTCACAATAGACTTCTTTCAACATAATGATGTCACATTGTTACCATGGCCATCAAGATCTCCCGACTTATCCCCAATTGAGCACGTCTGGGATATGATGGGTAGGAGATTGCTCAATTTGCAACGTCCTCCTCAGACTCTAGAAGCAGTTCGAGAGGAGTTGGTGGTTGCCTGGAATGAGATACCACAGGAGGACATTGACCACCTGATCAGAAGCATGCCTAGGCACGTTGGGGAATGCGTAGCACATCAGGGTGCATCCACACATTATTAAAGGTCAAAGGGCTTTAAAGCAGTGCAATCATTTTGAAATTTTTATCATTTACTTATTATGCTTCATTAAGTACTTATACAAAATTTTATTAAAATAAAACCATTTAAACTGGGTGTTCGGATTTATATGTCACTTAGTATAAATTGTCCTATAAATGGGAAACTGTTGGGCAATAAAGCTATTATTACTATTATTATTATTGTTATTATTATTATTATTATAATAATATTTACCAATGGACAGATCTGTCTCCATTGCTTGTGTCCCTATTAAAACAGTAGTTTTTTTTTCAAAAACAAGAACCATAGCGATTTTGTGTTGAACACCGATTTTCCTAGTAAATCTGAGTTATCCTATTTCAAAATTTCCATCTGGCAGAATATGCAAATATCGTAAGCAGCCCACTCCGATGAAAGCAATCCCCCAAAGAACGACAAGGCGGGCTGAAAGTTTCCTTCAGGATTATGCAAATAAAATTTTAAATGAGAGGAAATTATAACTAATTTCCTTTCGGAAACTGCTTTGTAACGGACGACATTTTTACATGTTAAATGCCGACTACAGCGCCCGCGGCCGTTCTGCAACTTCGTTTTGCTGCACGAAGTTTTTAAGACTAATTTAAACCTCTCGACTCCCTTTGGGAAAACTCTAATGTCGGTTGGTCTAAGACCGGCTCAAGCGGTTGAAAAAGTTGTAAATTTTTACGCAAAATGCTTGCCTGCAACGATTTCGTGTATTTTATGACTCTGAACTTTCACCGTTTTAGGCACATTAGCGAAAAATAGCGTCCAGCAGGTTGACTTTTCACTTCCACGCAACGCTGCTTCAGTTAATCAAAATGCATTGGTGTGGTTCAGCACTGTTGCCAGATGATCGATACTTAAGGCAGAGAAGAAGCCTGCGTCGTAGAAACTTGTGGCACAAAAAGTTCCGACTAAACCGGTCAAGAGAAAAACCTGGAAAATGTTTTCAAGTTTCTGAAGTGACCGCTAGGGGGCGTAATTGCAATCTTAAATCTAAAAGAATGATTTTTCTGTGAATTCCGCTATATTGACCTAACAAAAAATACCTGACCTGTAAAGCCGAGGAGAATGTGAACTTTTTTGTTCAACAATTTTTGCAGGATCCCTAAAAATAAACGGGTGGGGGGTATTCAAAGGTTTCCGTAAAAAACACCCTGTATCTTCGAATCGACTGAGGCGATTTTAACAAACCTAGGCTAGCTTAAAACAGCTATTAATGGACTAGAAATTTTACAATATTAAACGTTTTTTAGTTTCACAGGCGGCCGCTAGAGGGCTTTTTGGACATTCCGATAGAGATGGTTAATTTTCTCAAAAAGATTAAATGCGTTGATATGTTTTATTATGAAAAAGTAGCTTATTGATGCTCAAACAACCTCGCAAAAACCGCATCTCGATATCTTATTCCTAACCAGAAATGTAGGCCAAAGAACGTTTTATACGGAAGTCCCTTAATTTTTTTAATTACATTTTCTGGA